GGAAGCCCAAGGGTTTATATGAAAACCACAAAAAAATACGATATACAATACATTCCACAATACAATTTCGCATCTGCGTCGGGCGTGTCCCCGTTTCTGTATTCATGGGGTACAACAAACATGCAAGTAGAGAATGTATTGATCTACACCTTGGAATCACACTCACACGTTAGGCGTAAGCACTTTCCTTTAGCAGTGCTATAGCGCTGTATGAGTTTCCTTGTTAGTAGCCGGGCTCGACTGGATGCCGGCTGTCCCTCTCTCTGGACTGGGCCTGCTGGACTGTAAGTCTCGGTGTTGGTCCCCCACTGCGTTGGGCAGGTCCCTCGCGGGGGACAACAAACAAATGATTAGAGTGTATACTGATCAACAATTGGAGTCACACACACACTCACACGTTAGAAATAAGCACTTTCCTTTAGTAGTGTGCTGTAATGGAGTCTTCCCACAGGCGATCAGCCGAGAGGAACAGCGGTCGAGGAGCAGCTAGAAGTCGGACATCCGTGGAGAGGTTCCAATTCGAACGGCCTGTTGAAGGTAAGTGTCCAATTCCTTTGTGTCTAGTTCTGGGGCGTTTGGCAGTTAGTTCGGAGAGGGAGGAGGTGACGAGGATTGGCAACAGCTGTCTCATAGTCAATATAGTCCATGCTATTCTGTAGAATCACAGCACACCATGCAAAATAAGCAAATAGTTCTTGCAATTCAATTCAATTTCACACGTGAGAATGTAAGGAGTTAAGTGAAAGGCAATCGTTGTATAAACAGGAGAGAGAGAGAGAGAGAGAGAGAGAGAGAGAGAGAGAGAGAGAGAGAGAGAGAGAGAGAGAGAGAGAGAGAGAGAGAGAGAGAGAGAGAGAGAGAGAGAGAGAGAGAGTGTCAAGTGTCATTTGTTTACTCCTAATAACCAAGAACATACATTTTATTTTGACAAATATCAATGGTGCACTTTTCAGAATATATTCATAGCTAAGAACAGAATAAGTGTCCCAAAAAATTGAAAAGTATCTTATTACAGAAACAGTAGGCCTACATCACTCTGCAAACCACCATTCACACGATGTCGCCTTGTAGCCTATCAGAAACATTTAAAACCAAAATGCATAACAAAAAAACTAAATCTATAATCATATTATCCTAATCTTTTCCCCACAGCAGTTCACTATATTGTCCAATAATTCAACAAACATTTAATTTGGGTCTTAAAGCACCTTTACAGAACGACATGTCCTCCTGACACTTTCTACAAGTTTCATCCTTATAACGATATTGAAAACAATTTAATCTTAACCTTAGAAAAATATGTACATCTGTCTCTCAGTCATAATTCCCCCCGAGGTCTGAAATAAAAAAACTATATTTTTTTACAATTAGTGAGAGATTAGGTTGGGGGGGTCGAGGGGGGTATTGGAATTGTTCCACAGCAATTAGCAGCCACTGGAACAACATTAATAAACTCTAAAATCAAACAATGGATTGGTGTGTGTCAATTTTGCTGCCTACAAGGCTGAACTTCAGTGTCTGAGTGTGTGTGTCCTCAAAACCTTAAATGATATGCCCACCCATGTCGCTGACTGAAGATGTAGACGTTCTAAGCTTTTTGCCACCAGGAGTATTGTACTCTATATATGCTGGGAACTTATTTTACATCAATGCCCAAAATAAGCACTTTACTGTAAAACTGATTTTAGATTATGCTGTATGTACATATTGCTCTTTTTGGGGTTACATGAAAAGTAGATTTTTTCTGGTGTTTTCAAAGGAGCTTTATATAAAATAACTGTATTTTTTAAATGCCTGAATATCAAAAATATATTTTTGGATTGTTCCATATACTGCAAACACCTCACGGTCTTAAAAACAATGAAAGAACAACAATAAACTCATCTTAAAGATAAATAATATAATCTACATTTTTTGCTGAAATACAAAGAAACCTGCTACCCAAGTGTCATACATTTCTGTCCAAACGTCAGAATAGATAATAATAAGGTATTTGAGGTAGATATGTTCATGAAGGCAGGGTAAAGTGACTAGGCATCAGGATAGATAATAATAAGGTATTTGAGGTAGATATGTTCATGAAGGCAGGGTAAAGTGACTAGGCATCAGGATAGATAATAATAAGGTATTTGAGGTAGATATGTACATGAAGGCAGGGTAAAGTGACTAGGCATCAGGATAGATAATAATATGGTATTTGAGGTAGATAGAAACATGAAGGCAGGGTAAAGTGACTAGGCGTCAGGATAGATAATAATAATAATAATAATAATAATAATAATAGTAAAAAACTATGGATTACCACTCGATTGTAATAATATTAGCGAGATTCTTCCCAATTTCTAATTGCATCAGTGGCAGTGAATCAGGCTGCAGTTGTTCTAGCATCCTGTAGGGGTCACTCTGTGTCTTTGCTGAATATCTATCAAACAAACCTCACGGACTGATGTGTGCATTGACCATTAGGTGGTGCTATGACAGTGATATATGATCGCAACCATCAATACACTACTGTCTCTGGATTTACAAGACAGGAGGACTATAATGTGTCATTCTCAAAGGAAAGCAGTGATCCACCCCAGTATCCCTCTTTTACAATGCCACTGATTTTGCTTTATTTATTTATCTGTTAATCAACCACAGGAAGTCGCGTTGAGATTGACATCTCTTTGTGAAGTGAGCCCCGATACAGTGATGTTTCTATCTCATATGATTAATTTAATAGTGAGTCCATTACAAAGCCATGAGGATACGTGTAGTGATGAAGAGGTTGACAGGACTGGGACCCTGGCCCACTGGACTGACTATGAAAAATAGATGGATGGATTTCATCTTGTGAAGACACCCATATTTAAACTAAGCAGATAGGGATTTTAATACCCATTTGTCAGAGGTGGAATTATATATTGATATGTTCTAGTTATCAACCTTCTGCAAAGTGGATTTTTCCCATGTGTGAAAAAACGACTTAGTGATGGAATGCTGTTTTGAAAATCATGATTATATGTCATGCATTCCAGTACTAAAATAGATCCTGCCCAATCTGATCAACGTAATGGCTGTCACGTTGCCTGTCTGTCTCTCTGTTGGGAAGAGAAGAGCCTGCATTGTTGATGTCTTTGTTTCGCCACAGTGGATCTCTGTGCTTGGTCCTACGTTTAGTGTAGTCTTCATGCCAGGGAAAATAACAGCTCACTTAGTTGCTACAAAATGATGAAAAGTTAGGATGAGATGAGAGTGTGTGTGTGTGTGTGTGTGTGTGTGTGTGTGTGTGTGTGTGTGTGTGTGTGTGTGTGTGTGTGTGTGTGTGTGTGTGTGTGTGTGTGTGTGTTTGTGTGTGTGTGTGTGTGTGTGTGTGTGCATGCAAGTTAGGATGCGTCTTCATGTTTAGGATGAGATGATTGAAAGAGATGGGAGACTGGATTCAAAACTTAGAATTTTTCAATTTAAATGATTATATAAAATTCTTGCTACCAATAGAATGTTATTTATATGGGGGATACAATCTTCCCAGCTCTGCAGATTTTGCTGCGAAGAGACAGAATCATTAGATCATTTGTTTTGGTACTGTCCATTTGTAGCTTGTTTTTGGACACAGGTCCAGGAATGGCTAAAGGATTGCAATATTTACCTGGAGCTAGCAGATAGCACTACTGCAGATAGCACTACTGGGTGATCTAAAAAGTAATAGTCAATCGATCAATAATATATAATAACACTTTTAGCAAAAATGTTTATTTTCAATTTACGATCTGTAGAAACAATGAGAATAGAAAGGTTCAGAACTTTTGTAAAATTGACAAATATATGGCAAATAGAAATCCAATATGGATGGTGTTAAGAGATAGATGGGAGGTGTTGAATGGAGCTGAAGGATGGGACTAATAACAACAACTAATAACAACAAGATAACTAATGTAAAGCATACTGTGTCCATAATAAGTATATAGGTTATAGGTTGAGAGCTTTTGTGAAAGAGCACAGTTAGAAAGATATGGCATATAGAAGCAAACCAGATGGACATCATGAAAATGATCGGAGGAAGTTCAGGAGTAAAAACAAACAAAATATAAAGATTGTAGAATTTGACTGTGTCCATAAAATGTATATAATATGTATGGGCTGGAAGTAGAGGCCTAAGCGTTGTTGTTCACTAGTTTACTCCAATTAGGGAAGGGGTGGTGGGGTTGGAAAGTAATGAAGGGAAATATAATTTAAAAAAGGATATGTGTGTGTATATGGATGTATGTATATATATATGTGTGTATGTGGGCGGCAGGTAGCTTAGTGGTTAAGAGCGTTGTGCCAGTAACCGAAAGGTTGCTGGTTCTAATCCCCGAGCCGACTAGGTGAAAAATCTGTCGATGTGCCCTTGAGCAAGGCACTTAACCCTAATTGCTCATGTAAGTTGCTCTGGAAAAGAGCGTCTGCTAAATTACTTAAATGTAATGTAAATGTGTGTGTGTGTGTATACGTCCTCCTCTCGCAAACACATCGCTCAGCCCAGCGAGGACCCAGGGCATCACCAGCCTCGCCAGGACCCCTCCCATTCTCCTGGTTCAACTAACAGGGGAGAGAAGATGGAGGGAGATCAGTAAGGTCCCCGGTCTCCTGGTCCACCTAAAAGAGGAGAGAAGACAGAGGGAAGGACGGAGGGGGAGACATGGGGAGACTCAAGGTCAACTCTGGAGCCATGAATTGGGTTGGAAGAGCTCTGATGAGATTCTCTTTCTTCCTGGCACGGCGCAAGACTGGTAGCATCACCATCACCTTGCAGGCCTGTCAATCCCACCACCTTCCCCCACCTTCATCTTATCATCCCTCTGTTTTAGAATGCAACAAAGGAAGGAGGAGTAGGAGGAGGAAAAAAAGGGAAAAGGAGAAGCCTGTTTATCTATCCATTGTGTTCATCTATACATCAGGCCTGTTTACCTATCCATCATGTTCATCTATCCATCAGGCCTGTTCATCTATCCATCATATTTATCTATACATCAGGCCTGTTTACCTATCCATCATGTTCATCTATCCATCAGGCCTGTTTACCTATCCATCATGTTCATCTATCCATCAGGCCTGTTCATCTATCCATCACGTTTATCTATACATCAGGCCTGTTTATCTATCCATCAGGCCTGTTTATCTATCCATCAAGCCTGTTCATCCATCCATCAGGCCTGTTTATCTATCCATCAGGCCTGCTCATCTATCCATCAGGCCTGTTTATCTATCCATCAGGCCGGTTCATCTATCCATCAGGCCTGTTCATCTATCCATCAGGCCTGTTTATCTATCCATCAGGCCTGTTCATCTATCCATCAGGCATGTTTATCTATCCATCAGGCCTTTTTATCTATCCAGCAGGCCTGTTTATCTATCCAGCAAGCCTGTTTATCTATCCATCAGGCCTGTTCATCTATCCAGCAACAGCAGGCCTGTTCATTTATCCAGCAGACCTGTTTATCTATCCAGCAGGCCTGTTCATCTATCCATCAGGCCTGTTAATCTATCCATCAGGCCTGTTTATCTATCCATCAGGCCTGTTCATCTATCCATCAGGCCTGTTCATCTATCCATCAGGCCGGTTCATCTATCCATCAGGCCTGTTCATCTATCCATCATGTGTATCTATACATCAGGCCTGTTTATCTATCCATCAGGCCTGTTTATCTATCCATCAGGCCTGTTTATCTATCCATCAGGCCGGTTCATCTATCCATCAGGCCTGTTCATCTATCCATCATGTGTATCTATACATCAGGCCTGTTTATCTATCCATCAGGCCTGTTTATCTATCCATCAGGCCTGTTTATCTATCCATCAGGCCTGTTCATCTATCCATCAAGTCTTTTCATCCATCCATCATGTTCATCTATCCATCAGGCCTGTTTATCTATCCATCAAGCCTGTTCATCTATCCAGCAGGCCTGTTTACCTATCCATCAGGCCTGTTCATCTATCCAGCAGGCCTGTTTATCAATCTATAAGCCTGTTCATCTATCCAGCAGGCCTGTTCATCCATCCATCAGGCCTGTTCATCTATTCATCAGGCCTGTTTATCTATCCATCAGGCCTGTTCATCTATCCATCAGGCCTGTTTATCTATCCATCAGGCCGGTTCATCTATCCATCAGACCTGTTCATCTATCCATCAGGCCTGTTTATCTATCCATCAGGCCTGTTCATCTATCCATCAGGCATGTTTATCTATCCATCAGGTCCGTTTATCTATCCATCAGGCCTGTTCATCTATCCAGCAGGCCTGTTAATCTATCCAGCAGGCCTGTTTATCTATCCAGCAAGCCTGTTTATCTATCCATCAGGCCTGTTCATCTATCCAGCAACAGCAGGCCTGTTCATTTATCCAGCAGACCTGTTTATATATCCAGCAAGCCTGTTCATCTATCCAGCAGGCCTGTTTATCTATCCAGCAGGCCTGTTCATCTATCCATCAGGCCTGTTAATCTATCCATCAGGCCTGTTTATCTATCCATCAGGCCTGTTCATTTATCCAGCAGACCTGTTTATATATCCAGCAAGCCTGTTCATCTATCCAGCAGGCCTGTTTATCTATCCAGCAGGCCTGTTCATCTATCCATCAGGCCTGTTAATCTATCCATCAGGCCTGTTTATCTATCCATCAGGCCTGTTTATCTATCCCGCAGGCCTGTTCATCTATCCATCAGGCCTGTTAATCTATCCATCAGGCCTGTTCATCTATCCATCAGGTCTGTTCAACTCTCCAACTGTTTAATATCCACGGTCTGTTTATCTATCCATCAGGCCTGTTATTATCTATCAGGCGGTTCATCTATCATGGCCTGTTTACTATCCATCCTGACACCAAGGCCTTGTTTTATCCATCAGCCTGTTTATCTCCAGCAGTGTTCATTTATCCATCAGCCGGTTTTATCTATCAATCAGGCCTGTTTATCTATCATCAGGCCGGTTCATCTATCATGTGTCATTTCCCTCAGGCCTGTCATCTTTCCATCATGTTTATCTATCCAGCAGGCCTGTTTATCTATCCATCAGGCCTGTTTATCTAATCATCAGGCCTGTTTATCTATCCATCAGGCCTGTTCATCTCTCCATCATGTTCATTTATCCATCAGGCCTGTTCATCTTTCCATCATGTTTATCTATCCAGCAGGCCTGTTTTATCTATCCCCATCAGTCCGGTGTTTATCTATCATCAGCCTGTTTATCTATCCATCAGGCCTGTTATCTCTCCATCATGTTCATTTATCCATCAGGCCTGTTCATCTTTCCATCATGTTTATCTATCCAGCAGGCCTGTTTATCTATCCATCAGGCCTGTTCATCTAATCATCACCTGTCTTATTCATTTATCCATCAGAGCCTTTTTATCTATCATCAGGCCTGTTATTCTATCCATCAGGCCTTTCACCCTTCCATCATGTTTATCTTATCCATCAGGCCGTTTATCTATCCATCAGGCCTGTTCATTTATCCAGCATCTGTTATCTATCCACAGACCTGTTCATCTATCTTCAGGCCTGTTATCTATCGCAATCAGAGCTTGTTTTATCATTCCTCAGGCCTGTTTTTAATCTTACCATCAGGCCTGTTTTCTATCCATCCAGCCGTTTCATCTTCATCATTTATCTATCCATCAGGCCGTTTATCTATCCATCAGGCCTGTTCATTTATCCACACCTGTTTCATCTATCCATCGGCAGTGTTCATCTATCTTGATGGCCTGTTCATCTATCCATCACGGCCCGTTTTATCTATTCCATCAGGCCGTTCACCCACTTCTTTATCCATCAGGCCTGTTATCTATCCATCAGGCCTGTTCTATCTATCCATCACCTGTTCATCTATCCATCAGGCCTGTTTTATTCTATCTACCACCATGTTCATCTATCCACAGGCCGTTCATCTATCATATGGCCTGTTATCTTCCATCAGCCCCGTTTATCTATCCAGCAAGGCCTGTTCATCTATCCATCAGCCTGTTCATCTATCCGCAACAGGCCTGTTTATCTATCCATCAGAGCCTGTTTCATCTATCCACAGGCCTGTTTATCCCTTATCTATCCAAGCCTGTTCATCTATCCATCAGGCCTGTTAATCTATCCATCAGACCTGTTTATCTATCCACCAGGCCTGTTTATCTATCCAGCAGGCCTGTTTATGCATCCATCAGGCCTGTTAATCTCTTCAGCAACAGCAGGCCTGTTTATCTATCCAGCAAGCCTGTTTATCTATCCATCAGGACTGTTTATCTAACTATCAATCCTGTTAATCTATCCAGCAGGCCTGTTCCTCTATCCAGCAGGCCTGTTTATCTATCCAGCAGGCCTGTTTATCTATCCATCAGGCCTGTTAATCTCTCCAGCAACAGCAGGCCTGTTTATCTATCCAGCAGGCCTGTTTATCTATCCATCAGACCTGTTCATCTATCCAGCAACAGCAGACCTGTTTATCTATCCAGCAGGCCTGTTTATCTATACAGCAGGCCTGTTCATCTATCCATCAGGCATGTTAATCTATCCATCAGGCCTGTTTATCCATCCATCAGGCCTGTTCATCTCTCCATCATGTTCAGTTATCCATCAGGCCTGTTTAACTATCCATCAGGCCTGTTCATCATTCCATCATGTTCATCTATCCATCAGGCCTGGTTATCTATCCATCAGGCCTGTTTATCTATCCATCATGTTCATCTATCTATCAGGCCTGTTTATCTATCCATCAGGCCTGTTTATCTATACATCATGCCTGTTCATCTCTCCATCATGTTCATTTATCCATCAGGCCTGTTTAACTATCCATCAGGCTTGTTCATCTTTCCATCATGTTCATCTATCCATCAGGCCTGTTTATCTATCCATCAGGCCTGTTCATCTAATCATAAGGCCTGTTTATCTATCCATCAGGCATGTTTATCTATCCATCAGGCCTGTTTATCTATCCATCAGGCCTGTTCATCTCTCCATCATGTTCATTTATCCATCAGGCCTGTTTAACTATCCATCTGGCCTGTTCATCTTTCCATCATGTTCATCTATCCATCAGGCCTGTTTATCTATCTATCAGGCCTGTTCATCTTTCCATCATGGTCATATATCCATCAGGCCTGTTTATCTATCCATCAGGCCTGTTCATCTATCCATATGGCCTGTTCATCTATCCATCAGGCCTGTTAATCTATCCATATGGCCTGTTCATCTATCCATCAGGCCTGTTAATCAATCCATCAGGCCCCTGTTCATCTATCATCAGCCTGTTCATCTTTCCATCAGTCATCTATCCTTTATCAGAGCCTGTTTTATCTATCCAAACAGCCTGTTCATCTATCCAATCCTGTTCATCTATCCATCAGGCCTGTTTATCTATCCATCAGGCCTGTTCATCTATCATCAGGCCTGTTATTCTCCATCAGCTGTTCATTTATCCATCAGGCCTGTTATCTATCCACAGCGCCTGTTCAATCCTTTTTCATCACTGTCTTCACTCTATCCATCAGGCCTGTTTATCTATCCATCAGGCCTGTTCATCTATCATCAGGCCTGTTCATCTCTCCATCATGTTCTTTTATCCATCAGGCCTGTTTATCTATCCATCAGCCTGTTCATCTTTCCATCATGTTCATCTATCCATCAGGCCTGTTTATCTATCCATCAGGCTGCTTATCTATCTCAGGCCTGTTGATCTTCCACCATGTTCTTATCCATCAGGCCTGTTATCTATCCATCATGGCCTGTTCATCTTTCCATCACTGTTCATCTATCCATCAGGCCTGTTTATCTATCCATCAGGCCTGCATCTTCCGCAGGCCTGTTGTTTATCTCATCCATCAGCCGGTTTCATCATGTCATTCCATCCCAGGCTGTTATCTATATGCTCCATATCACTGTTCATCTTCCAGCAGGCCTGTTTTCTTTACCTTATCCATCCATCAGCCTGTTTATTCATATCACAGGCCTGTTCATCTATCCATCAGGCCTGTTATCTTCCATCCAGCCTGTTATCTATCCATCAGGCCTGTTCATCTATCCAGTCAGGCCTGTTATCTATCCACAGCCTGTTTATCTATCCATCAGGCCTTGTTTCATCTATCCAGGCCTTACACGCAGGCCTGTTATCTATCCATCAGCTCTGTTCTCTATCCAAGCAGGCCTGTTCATCATCCAGCAGGCCTGTTTTATCTATCCAGTCAGGCCTGTTCATCAATCCAGCAGGCCTGTTTATCTATCCAGTAGGCCTGTTCATCTATCCATCAGGCCTGTTAATCTATCCATCAGACCTGTTTATCTATCCACCAGGCCTGTTCATCCATCCATCAGGCCTGTTTATCTAACTATCAATCCTGTTAATCTATCCAGCAGGCCTGTTCCTCTATCCAGCAGGCCTGTTTATCTATCCAGCAGGCCTGTTTATCTATCCATCAGGCCTGTTAATCTCTCCAGCAACAGCAGGCCTGTTTATCTATCCAGCAGGCCTGTTTATCTATCCATCAGGCCTGTTTATCTAACTATCAATCCTGTTAATCTATCCAGCAGGCCTGTTCCTCTATCCAGTAGGCCTGTTTATCTATCCAGCAGGCTTGTTTATCTATCCATCAGGCCTGTTAATCTCTCCAGCAACAGCAGGCCTGTTTATCTATCCAGCAGGCCTGTTTATCTATCCATCAGACCTGTTCATCTATCCAGCAACAACAGACCTGTTTATCTATCCAGCAGGCCTGTTTATCTATACAGCAGGCCTGTTCATCTATCCATCAGGCATGTTAATCTATCCATCAGGCCTGTTTATCTATCCATCAGGCCTGTTCATCTCTCCATCATGTTCAGTTATCCATCAGGCCTGTTTAACTATCCATCAGGCCTGTTCATCTTTCCATCATGTTCATCCATCCATCAGGCCTGGTTATCTATCCATCAGGCCTGTTTATCTATCCATCAGGCCTGTTTATCTATACATCATGCCTGTTCATCTCTCCATCATGTTCATTTATCCATCAGGCCTGTTTAACTATCCATCAGGCCTGTTCATCTTTCCATCATGTTCATCTATCCATCAGGCCTGTAATCTATCCATCAGGCCTGTTCATCTAATCATCAGGCCTGTTTATCTATCCATCAGGCATGTTTATCTATCCATCAGGCCTGTTTATCTATCCATCAGGCCTGTTCATCTCTCCATCATGTTCATTTATCCATCAGGCCTGTTTAACTATCCATCAGGCCTTTTCATCTTTCCATCATGTTCATCTATCCATCAGGCCTGTTTATCTATCTATCAGGCCTGTTCATCTTTCCATCATGGTCATCTATCCATCAGGCCTGTTTATCTATCCATCAGGCCTATTCATCTATCCATGTGGCCTGTTCATCTATCCATCAGGCCTGTTAATCTATCCATCAGGCCTGTTCATCTATCCATCAGGCCTGTTCATCTCTCCAGCAACAGCAGGCCTGTTCATTTAACCAGTACACCTGTTTATCTATCCAGCTGGTCTGTTTTTCCATCCATCATGCCTGTTCATCTATTCAGCAGTCCTGTTTATCTATCCATCAGACCTGTTCATCTATCCAGCAACAACAGACCTGTTTATCTATCCAGCAGGCCTGTTTATCTATACAGCAGGCCTGTTCATCTATCCATCAGGCATGTTAATCTATCCATCAGGCCTGTTTATCTATCCATCAGGCCTGTTCATCTCTCCATCATGTTCAGTTATCCATCAGGCCTGTTTAACTATCCATCAGGCCTGTTCATCTTTCCATCATGTTCATCTATCCATCAGGCCTGGTTATCTATCCATCAGGCCTGTTTATCTATCCATCAGGCCTGTTTATCTATACATCATGCCTGTTCATTTCTCCATCATGTTCATTTATCCATCAGGCCTGTTTAACTATCCATCAGGCCTGTTCATCTTTCCATCATGTTCATCTATCCATCAGGCCTGTAATCTATCCATCAGGCCTGTTCATCTAATCATCAGGCCTGTTTATCTATCCATCAGGCATGTTTATCTATCCATCAGGCCTGTTTATCTATCCATCAGGCCTGTTCATCTCTCCATCATGTTCATTTATCCATCAGGCCTGTAAAACTATCCATCAGGCCTTTTCATCTTTCCATCATGTTCATCTATCCATCAGGCCTGTTTATCTATCTATCAGGCCTGTTCATCTTTCCATCATGGTCATCTATCCATCAGGCCTGTTTATCTATCCATCAGGCCTATTCATCTATCCATATGGCCTGTTCATCTATCCATCAGGCCTGTTAATCTTTCCATATGGCCTGTTCATCTATCCATCAGGCCTGTTAATCTATCCATCAGGCCTGTTCATCTATCCATCAGGCCTGTTCATCTCTCCAGCAACAGCAGGCCTGTTCATTTAACCAGTACACCTGTTTATCTATCCAGCTGGTCTGTTTATCCATCCATCATGCCTGTTCATCTATTCAGCAGTCCTGTTTATCTATCCATCAGGCCTGTTCATCTATCCAGCAGGCCTGTTTATCTATCCATCAGGCCTGTTCATCTAATCATCAGGCCTGTTTATCTATCCATCAGGCATGTTTATCTATCCATCAGGCCTGTTCATCTCTCCATCAAATTCATTTATCCATCAGGCCTGTTTATCAATCCATCAGGCTTGTTCATCTTTCCTCATGTTCATCTATCCATTAGGCCTGTTTATCTATCCATAAGGCCTGTTTATCTATCCATCAGGCCTATTTATCTATCCATCAGGCCTGTTTATCTATCCATCAGGCCAGTTCATCTATCCATCAGGCCTGTTCATCTATCCAGCAGGCCTGTTCATCTATCCATCAGGCCAGTTCATCGATCCATCAGGCCTGTTCATCTATCCAGCAGGCCTGTTCATCTATCCAGCAGGCCTGTTCATCTATCCATCAGGCCTGTTCATCTATTTATCAGGCATGTTAATCTATCCATCAGGCCTGTTTATCTATTCTTTAGACCTGTTCATCTAATCATCAGGCCTGTTTATCTATCCATCAGGGCTGTTTATCTATCCAGCAGGCCTGTTCATCTATCCATCAGGCCTGTTCATCAAATCATCAGGCCTGTTTATCTATCCATTAGGCCTGTTTATCTATCCAGCAGGCCTGTTCATCTATCCATCAGGCCTGTTTATATATCCATCAGGCATGTTTATCTATCCATCAGGCCTGTTCGTCTATCCATCAGGCCTGTTCATCTATCCATCAGGCCTGTTTATCTATCCATAAGGCCTGTTTAACTATCCATCAGGCCTGTTTATCTATCCATCAGGCCTGTTTATCTATCCATCAGGTCAGTTCATCTATCCATCATGTTCATCTATCCATCAGTGTCATGATCGTCAGGAACAGATGAGGACCAAGGCGCAGCGTTGCAGGCAAACATACTCTTTATTTAGCGTCAAATGACCAAAACAACAAAACGATATCGTGACAGTTCACGGTCTAACACAAACCGACTGGAAACAAATCCCACAAACACGAATGAAAAACAACCAGCAACACCTGACACTCGTTGCCTCTGATTGGGAGCCACTCTGGCCAACATAGAAATGGCACCCATAGAAACAAAACACATTGATCTACACACCCTGGCTCAACATAACAGTGTCCCCATAGCCAGGGCGTGACAGTACCCCCCCCTAAAGGCGTGGACTCCGACCGCGTCAACCAAATACCACAGGGGAGGGACCGGGTGGGCACTCCGCCTAGGCGGCGGATCCGGCTCCGGGCCTGAATCCCGCTCCCTCTCCAACCCCCCAAAGTACCCCTGGTCCGGTCTGGCCCCGCTGGCCGGAGCTGGACTGCACACTGGTGGAGCGGATTGCTCTAGCTCCGGCGTGAAGCAGCTGACCCGTGCTGAACCAGGCACCAGTAGGCACGGGCTGTGCCGGACTGACGACGCACACCACTGGCTTGGTGTGGGGAGCAGGAACGGCCCGAGCCGGGCTGACGAAACGCACCCCTGACTTGGTGCGGGGAGCAGGAGCGGGCCGAACCGGGCTGACGAAACGCACCACTGACTTGGTGCGGGGGAGCAGGAACGGGCCGAGCCGGACTGACGAAGCGCACCACTGACGTGGTGCGGGGAGAAGGAACGGGCCGAGCCGGGCTGACGAAGCGCACCACTGACTTGGTGTGGGGAACAGGCACGGGCCGTGCCGGACTGACGACGCACACCACTGGCTTGGCGTGGGGAACGGGCACGGGCCGTGCCGGACTGACGACGCACACCACTGGCTTGGTAAGGGGAGCAGGAGTGGGCCGGACCGGGCTGGCGACGCTCACCATAGGCTCGGTGCGGGGAGCAGGAACAGGCCGGACCGGGCTGGCGACACGCACCACAGGCTCGATGCGAGGAACAGGAACAGGCCGGACCGTACTGGGGACACACATCACTGGCCCTATGCAGGGATCAGGAACGGGCCGGACCGGACTGGTAACACACACCAGTACCTCTCGCCGTGCCTCCACACTTTCCCTCTCCTCTGTGACCAGTGGCCCCCTTAACCTGGCGGCCTCCCTTGCACACCCGCTGGACCGCTCCATCGCGGCCTCCTGCTGCCCCGTCGTCCCCGGCCGGAGCCCCCCCCTAAAAAAATTATGGGGGTCTCTCCTCCCCGTGGGCCAGGCCTCTATAGTTCTCGCCCAACTCTCGCTCTTCTGCTTCCAACTCCAGCCATTCTGCTCTTCATTAGGCTTGACCCAGTCGAGACTCTTCCTCCACTGTTCCCAAGTCCACCCTCTCTGCTCTTCACTCGGCTTGACCCAGTCGAGGCTGCCACGGAGATCTGCTAGGGATTTCCCTGGCGATGGCTCCTCGACTCGCTGCTTGGTCCAGTTCTGGTGGGATTTTCTGTCACGATCGTCAGGAACAGATGAGGACCAAGGCGCAGCGTTGCAGGCAAACATACTCTTTATTTAGCGTCAAATGACCAAAACAACAAAACGATATCAATCAATCAATTTTATTTTATATAGCCCTTCTTACATCAGCTAATATCTCGAAGTGCTGTACAGAAACCCAGCCTAAAACCCCAAACAGCTAGTAATGCAGGTGTAGAAGCACGGTGGCTAGGAAAAACTCCCTAGAAAGGCAAAACCTAGGAAGAAACCTAGAGAGGAACCAGGCTATGAGGGGTGGCCAGTCCTCTTCTGGCTGTGCCGGGTGGAGATTATAACAGAACCATGCCAAGATGTTCAAAAATGTTCATAAGTGACAAGCATGGTCAAATAATAATCAGGAATAAATCTCAGTTGGCTTTTCATAGCCGATCATTAAGAGTTGAAAACAGCAGGTCTGGGACAGGTAGGGGTTCCATAACCGCAGGCAGAACAGTTTAAACTGGAATAGCAGCAAGGCCAGGCGGACTGGGGACAGCAAGGAGTCACCACGGCCGGTAGTCCCGACGTATGGTCCTAGGGCTCAGGTCTCTCAGTTGGCTTTTCATAGCCGATCATTAAGAGTTGAAAACAGCAGGTCTGGGACAGGTAGGGGTTTCGTAGCCGCAGGCAGAACAGTTGAAACTGGAATAGCAGCAAGGCCAGGCGGACTGGGGACAGCAAGGTGTCATCATGCCCGGTAGTCCTGACGTATGGTCCTAGGGCTCAGGTTCTCAGAGAGAAAGAGAGAACGAGAGAATTAGAGAGAGCATACTTAAATTCACACAGGACACTGGATAAGACAGGAGAAGTACTCCAGGTATAACCAACTAACCCCAGCCCCCCGACACATAAACTACTGCAGCATAAATACTGGAGGCTGAGACAGGAGCGGTCCGGAGACACTGTGGCCCCATCCGAAGAAACCCCCGGACAGGGCCAAACAGGAAGGATATAACCCCACCCACTCCGCCAAAGCACAGCCCCCGCACCACTAGAGGGATATCCCCAACCACCAACTTACAATCCTGAGACAAGGCCGAGTATAGCCCACAGAGGTCTCCACCACAGCACAAACCAAGGGGGGGGCGCCAACCCAGACAGGAAGATCACGTCAGTAACTCAACCCACTCAAGTGACGCACCCCTCCCAGGGACGGCATGAAAGAGCACCAGCAAGCCAGTGACTCAGCCCCTGCAACAGGGTTAGAGGCAGAGAACCCCAGTGGAGAGGGGAACCGGCCCGGCAGAGACAGCAAGGGCTGTTCGTTGCTCCAGCCTTTCCGTTCACCTTCACACTCCTGGGCCAGACTACACTCAATCATATGACCTACTGAAGAGATAAGTCTTCAGTAAAGACTTAAAGGTTGAGACCGAGTCTGCGTCTCTCACATGGGTAGGCAGACTGTTCCATAAAAATGGAGATCTATAGGAGAAAGCCCTGCCTCCCGCTGTTTGCTTAGAAATTCTAGGGACAATTAGGAGGCCTGCGTCTTGTGACCGTAGCGTACGTATTGGTATGTACGGCAGGACCAACTCGGAAAGATAGGTAGGAGCAAGCCCATGTAACGCTTTATAGGTTAACAGTAAAACCTTGAAATCAGCCCTTGCCTTAACAGGAAGCCAGTGTAGGGAAGCTAGCACTGGAGTAATATGATCAAATTTCTTGGTTCTAGTCAGGATTCTAGCAGCCGTATTTAGCACTAACTGAAGTTTATTTAGTGCTTTATCCGGGTAGCCGGAAAATAGAGCATTGCAGTAGTCTAACCTAGAAGTAACAAATGCATGGATTAATTTTTCTGCATCATTTTTGGACAGAAAATTTCTGATTTTTGCAATGTTACGTAGATGGAAAAAAGCTGTCCTTGAAACAGTCTTGATATGTTCGTCAAAAGAGAGATCAGGGTCAAGAGTAACGCCTAGGTCCTTCACAGTTTTATTTGAGACGACTTTACAACCATCAAGATGAATTGTCAGATTTAACAGAAGATCTCTTTGTTTCTTGGGACCTAGAACAAGCATCTCTGTTTTGTCCGAGTTTAAAAGTAAAAAGTTTTCAGCCATCCACTTCCTTATGTCTGAAACACAGGCTTCTAGCGAGGGCAATTTTGGGGCTTCACCATGCTTCATTGAAATGTACAGCTGTGTGTCATCCGCATAGCAGTGAAAGTTAACATTATGTTTTCGAATAACATCCCCAAGAGGTAAAATATATAGTGAAAACAATAGTGGTCCTAAAACGGAACCTTGAGGAACACCGAAATGTACAGTTGATTTGTCGGAGGACAGACCATTCACAGAGACAAACTGATATCTTTCCGACAGGTAGGATCTAAACCAGGCCAGAACTTGTCCGTGTAGACCAATTTGGGTTTCCAGTCTCTCCAAAAGAATGTGGTGATCGATGGTGTCAAAGGCAGCACTAAGGTCTAGTAGCACGAGGACAGATGCAGAGCCTCGGTCTGACGCCATTAAAAGGTCATTTACCACCTTCACAAGTGCAGTCTCAGTGCTATGATGGGGTCTAAAACCAGACTGAAGCATTTCGTATACATTGTTTGTCTTCAGAAAGGCAGTGAGTTGCTGCGCAACAGCTTTTTCTAAAATTTTTGAGAGGAATGGAAGATTCGATATAGGCCGATAGTTTTTTATATTTTCCGGGTCAAGGTTTGGCTTTTTCAAGAGAGGCTTTATCACTGCCACTTTTAGTGAGTTTGGTACACATCCGGTGGATAGAGAGCTGTTTATTATGTTCAACATAGGAGGGCCAAGCACAGGAAGCAGCTCCTTCAGCAGTTTAGTAGGAATAGGATCCAGTATGCAGCTTGAAGGTTTAGAGGCCATGATTATTTTCATCATTGTGTCAAGAGATATAGTACTAAAACACTTAAGTGTCTCTCCCGATCCCAGGCCCTCGCAGAGCTGTGCAGATCCAGGACAGCTAAGCCCTGGAGGAATACACAGATTCAAAGAGGAGTCCGTAATTTGCTTTCTAATGGTCATGATCTTTTCCTCAAAGAAGTTCATGAATTTATCACTGCTGAAGTGAAAGCCATCCTCTCTTGGGGAATGCTGCTTTTTAGTTAGCTTTGCAACAGTATCAAAAATAAATTTTGGATTGTTCTTATTTTCCTCGATTAAGTTGGAAAAGTAGGATGATCGAGCAGCAGTGAGGGCTCTTCGGTACTGCACGGTACTGTCTTTCCAAGCTAGTCGGAAGACTTCCAGTTTGGTGTGGCGCCATTTCCGTTCCAATTTCCTGGAAGCTTGCTTCAAAGCTCGGGTATTTTCTGTATACCAGGGAGCTAGTTTCTTATGACAAATGTTTTTCGCGTTTTAGGGGTGCAACTACATCTAGGGTATTGCGCAAGGTTAAATTGAGTTCCTCAGTTAAGTGGTTAACTGATTTTTGTCCTCTGACGTCCTTGGGTAGGCAGAAGGAGTCTGGAAGGGCATCAATGAATTTTTGTGTTGTCTGAGAATTTATAGCACGACTTTTGATGCTCCTTGGTTGGGGTCTGAGCAGATTATTTGTTGCGATTGCAAACGTAATAAAATGGTGGTCCGATAGTCCAGGATTTTGTGGAAAAACATTAAGATCTACAACATTTATTCCATGGGACAAAACTAGGTCCAGAGTATGACTGTGGCAGTGAGTAGGTCCAGAGACATGTTGGACAAAACCCACTGAGTCGATAATGGCTCCGAAAGACTTTTGGAGTGGGTCTGTGGACTTCTCCATGTGAATATTAAAATCACCAAAATTAATGATCTGCTATGACTACAAGGTCTGATAGGAATTCAGGAAACTCAGAGAGGAACGCTGTATATGGCCCAGGAGGCCTGTAAACAGTAGCTATAAAAAGTGATTGAGTAGGCTGCATAGATTTCATGACTAGAAGCTCAAAAGATGAAAACGCCATTTTTTTTTTTGTAAATTGAAATTTGCTATCGTAAATGTTAGCAACACCTCCGCCTTTGCGGGATGCACGGGGAATATGGTCACTAGTGTAACCAGGAGGTGAGGCCTCATTTAACACAGCAAATTCATCAGGCTTAAGCCATGTTTCAGTCAGGCCAATCACATCAAGATTATGATCAGTGATTAGTTCATTGACTATGACTGCCTTTGAAGTGAGGGATCTAACATTAAGTAACCCTATTTTGAGATGTGAGGTATCACGATCTCTTTCAATAATGGCAGGATGGAGGAGGTCTTTATCCTAATAAGATTGCTAGGGTGAACACCGCCATGTTTAGTTTTGCCCAACCTAGGTCGAGGCACAGACACAGTCTCAATGGGTATGGCTGAGCTGACTACACTGACTGTGCTATTGGCAGACTCCACTAAGCTGGCAGGTTGGCTAACAGCCTGCTGCCTGGCCTGCACCCTATTTCACTGTGGGGCTAGAGGAGTTAGAGCCCTATCTATGTTGGTAGATAAGAAAAGAGCACCCCTCCAGCTAGGATGGAGTCCGTCACTCCTCAGCAGGTCAGGCTTGGTCCTGTTTGTGGGTGAGTCCCAGAAAGAGGGCCAATTATCCACAAATGTTATCTTTTGGGAGGGGCAGAAAACAGTTTTCAACCAGCGATTAAGTGCTGAGACTCTGCTGTAGAGCTCGTCACTTCCCCTAACTGGGAGGGGGCCAGAGACAATTACTCGATGCCGACACATCTTTCTAGCTGATTTACACGCTGAAGCTATGTTGCACTTGGTGACCTCTGACTGTTTCATCCTAACATCGTTGGTGCCGACGTGGATAACAATATCTCTATACTCTCTACACTCGCCAGTTTTAGCTTTAGCCAGCACCATCTTTAGATTAGCCTTAACGTCGGTAGCCCTGCCCCCTGGTAAACAGTGTATGATCGCTGGGTGATTCGTTTTAAGTCTAATACTGCGGGTAATGGAGTCGCCAATGACTAGGGTTTTCAATTTGTCAGAGCTAATGGTGGGAGCCTTCGGAGTCTCAGACCCCGTAACGGGAGGAGTAGAGACTAGAGAAGACTCAGACTCAGACTCCGACTCGCTACATAATGGGGAAAACCGGTTGAAGGTTTCTGTCGGCTGAATGAGCGACACCGGTTGAGCATTCCAACAGTATTTCCCTCCAGAAGCCATGAGAAAGTTGTCCGGCTGCGGGGACTGTGCGGGGGGATTTATACTAACGTTACTGTCTGTACTTACTGGTGGCACAGACGCTGTTTCTTCCTTTCCTACACTGATATTACCCTTGCCTAACGATTGCGTCTGAAGCTGGGCTTGTAGCACAGCTATTCTCGCCGTAAGGCGAGAATTCTCCTGTATATTATGAGTACAGCGACTGCAATTAGAAGACATCATGTTAATGTTACTACTTAGCTTCGGCTGTTGAAGATGTTGATGAACCATGTCCAGATAAAGCATCCGGAGTGAAAAAGTTGAATAAGGGAAAAAAGTTGCGATGGAAAAAAGGAAAATAACGTAAAGTTGGCAGCTAAAACGCACAGGAAAATGACTCTTCTGTCTCGGGATAAACGTCCGGGGTGAAAAAGTTTAACGAAAAAAGATGAGTGAGGACAAAACTAAAAAGTTGGTAAATTTGTTGAACACAGAGATTGATTAAAAGTTTATTAAAAGTAAAACGTGAATAGTTTGGCAGGTAGCCAAGTAGAAACAAACAGCACAGCAGCACGGAGACAATGCGGAAGCGAGACGGAAGTTCGGAAGCGAGATGCGGAAGCGAGACGGAAGTTCACGGTCTAACACAAACCGACTGGAAACAAAATCCCACAAACACGAATGAAAAACAGACTGTTTAAATATGGCTCCCAATCAGAGACAACCAGCAACACCTGACACTCGTTGCCTCTGATTGGGAGCCACTCTGGCCAACATAGAAATGGCACCCATAGAAACAAAACACATTGATCTACACACCCTGGCTCAACATAACAGTGTCCCCAGAGCCAGGGCGTGACAATCAGGCCTGTTTATCTATTCATCAGGGCTGTTTATCTATCCAGCAGGCCTGTTCATCTATCAATCAGGCCTGTTCATCAAATCATCAGGCCTGTTTATCTATCCATCAGGCCTGTTTATCTATCCAGCAGGCCTGTTCATCTATCCATCAGTTCTGTTTATCTACCCATCAGGCATGTTTATCTATCCATCAGGCCTGTTCATCTTTCCATCAGGCCTGTTCATTTATTCATCAGGCATGTTTATCTATCCATCAGGCCTGCTTATCTATCCATAAGGCCTGTTTATCTATCCATAGGCTGTTCGGCTATCCATCAGGCCTGTTCATCTATCCATCATGTGTATCTATACATCAGGCCTGTTTATCTATCCATAAGGCCTGTTTATATATCCATCAGGCCTGTTCATCTATCCATCATGTTTATCTATCCATCAGGCCTGTTTATCTATCCATCAGGCCTGTTTATCTATCCATCAGGCCCGTTAATCTATCCATCAGGCATGTTTATCTATCCATCAGACCTGTTTATCTATCCATCAGGCCTGTTTACCTATCCATCAGGCCTGTTCATCTATCCAGCAGGCCTGTTCATCGATCCATCATGTTCATCTATCCATCAGGCCTGGTTATCTATCAATCAGGGCTGGTTATCTATCCAGCAGGCCTGTTCATCTATCCATCAGGCCTGTTCATCAAATCATCAGGCCTGTTTATCTACCCATCAGGCATGTTTATCTATCCATCAGGCCTGTTCATCTTTCCATCAGGCCTGTTCATTTATTCATCAGGCCTGTTTATCTATCCATTAGCCCTGTTCATCCATCCATCAGGCCTGTTTATCTATCCATCAGGCCTGTTCATCCATCCATCAGGCCTGTTTATCTATCCTCAGGCGTGTTCATCTATCCATCAGGCCTGTTTATCTATCCAGCATGCCTGTTCATCTATCCAGCAGTCCTGTTAATCTATCCACCAGGCCTGTTCATCTATCCAGCAGGCCTGTTTATCTATCCATCAGGCCTGTTTATCTATATATCAGACATGTTTATCTATCCTTCAAGCCTTTTATATTTCCATCAGTCCTGTTCATCTATCCAGAAGGCCTGTTCATCTATCCATCAGGCCTGTTTATATATCCATCAGGCCTGTTCATCTATCCATCAGGCCTGTTTATCTATCCAGCAGGCCTGTTCATCTATCCATCAGGCCTGTTTATTTATCCATCAGATCTGTTCATCTATTCATCAGGCCTGTTTATCTATCCATCAGGCATGTTTATCTATCCATCAAGCCTATTCCTTTATTCATCAGCCCTGTTTATCCATCCATCTGGCCTGTTAATCTATCCATCAGGCCTTTTCATCTATCCATCAGGCCGGTTTATCTATCCAGCAGGCCTGTTCATCTATCCATCTGGCCTGTTCATCTATCCAGCAGGCCTGTTAATCTATCCATCAGGCCTGTTTATCTATCCACCAAGCCTGTTAATCTATCCATCAGGCCTGTTTATCTATACATCAGGCCTGTTCATCTATCCAGCAGGCCTGTTTATCTATCCATCAGGCCTTTTCATGTTTCAAGCAGGCCTGTTCATCTATCCAGCAGGCCTGTTTATCTATCCAGAAGGTCTGTTCCTCTATCAAGCAGGCCTGTTCCTCTATCCAGCAGGCCTGTTCATCTCTCCAGCAACAGCAGGCCTGTTTATCTATCCAGCAGGCCTGTTTATCTATCCACCAAGCCTGTTTATCTATCCATCAGGCCTGTTTATCTATCCATCAGGCCTGTTTATCTATCCATCAGGCTTGTTTATCTATCCAACAGGCCTGTTTATCTATCCATGAGGCATGTTTATCTATCCATCAGGCCTGTTTATCTATCCATCAGGCCTGTTTATCTATCCATCAGGCCTGTTCATCTATTTATCAGGCATGTTAATTTTTCCATCAGGCCTGTTTATCTATTCTTCAGACCTGTTCATCTAATCATCAGGCCTGTTTATCTATCCATCAGGGCTGTTTATCTATCCAGCAGGCCTGTTCATCTATCCATCAGGCCTGTTCATCAAATCATCAGGCCTGTTTATCTATCCATTAGGCCTGTTTATCTATCCAGCAGGCCTGTTCATCTATCCATCAGGCCTGTTTATCTATCCATCAGGCATGTTTATCTATCCATCAGGCCTGTTCGTCTATCCATCAGGCCTGTTCATCCATCCATCAGGCCTGTTTATCTATCCATAAGGCCTGTTTAACTATCCATCAGGCCTGTTTATCTATCCATCAAGCCTGTTTATCTATCCATCAGGCCAGTTCATCTATCCATCAGGCCTGTTCATCAATCCATCAGGCCTGTTTGTCTATCCATCAGGCCAGTTCATCTATCCATCAGGCCTGTTCATCTATCCAGCAGGCCTGTTCATCTATCCATCAGGCCTGTTCATCTATTTATCAGGCATGTTAATCTATCCATCAGGCCTGTTTATCTATTCTTCAGACCTGTTCATCTAATCATCAGGCCTGTTTATCTATCCATCAGGGCTGTTTATCTATCCAGCAGGCCTGTTCATCTATCCATCAGGCCTGTTCATCAAATCATCAGGCCTGTTTATCTATCCATTAGGCCTGTTTATCTATCCAGCAGGCCTGTTCATCTATCCATCAGGCCTGTTTATCTATCCATCAGGCATGTTTATCTATCCATCAGGCCTGTTCGTCTATCCATCAGGCCTGTTCATCTATCCATCAGGCATGTTTATCTATCCATCAGACCTGTTTATCTATCCATCAGGCCTGTTTACCTATCCATCAGGCCTGTTCATCTATGCAGCAGGCCTGTTCATCGATCCATCATGTTCATCTATCCATCAGTGTCACGATCGTCAGGAACAGATGAGGACCAAGGCGCAGCGTTGCAGGCAAACATACTCTTTATTTAGCGTCAAATGACCAAAACAACAAAACGATATCGTGACAGTTCACGGTCTAAAACAAACCGACTGGAAACAAATCCCACAAACACGAATGAAAAACAACCAGCAACACCTGACACTCGTTGCCTCTGATTGGGAGCCACTCTGGCCAACATAGAAATGGCACCCATAGAAACAAAACACATTGATCTACACACCCTGGCTCAACGTAACAGTGTCCCCATAGCCAGGGCGTGACAGTACCCCCCCCTAAAGGCGTGGACTCCGACCGCGTCAACCAAATACCACAGGGGAGGGACCTGTTTATCTATCCATCAGGCCTGCTTATCTATCCATAAGGCCTGTTTATCTATCCATAGGCTGTTCGGCTATCCATAAGGCCTGTTCATCTATCCATCATGTGTATCTATACATCAGGCCTGTTTATCTATCCATCAGGCCTGTTTATCTATCCATCAGGCCCGTTCATCTATCCATCAGGCATGTTTATCTATCCATCAGACCTGTTTATCTATCCATCAGGCCTGTTTACCTATCCATCAGGCCTGTTCATCTATCCAGCAGGCCTGTTCATCGATCCATCATGTTCATCTATCCATCAGGCCTGTTTATCTATCCATCAGGGCTGGTTATCTATCCAGCAGGCCTGTTCATCTATCCATCAGGCCTGTTCATCAAATCATCAGGCCTGTTTATCTATCCATCAGGCCTGTTTATCTACCCATCAGGCATGTTTATCTATCCATCAGGCCTGTTCATCTTTCCATCAGGTCTGTTCATTTATTCATCAGGCCTGTTTATCTATCCATTAGGCCTGTTCATCCATCCATCAGGCCTGTTTATCTATCCATCAGGCCTGTTCATCCATCAATAAGGCCTGTTTATCTATCCTCAGGCGTGTTCATCTATACATCAGGCCTGTTTATCTATCCAGCATGCCTGTTCATCTATCCAGCAGTCCTGTTAATCTATCCATCAGGCCTGTTCATCTATCCAGCAGGCCTGTTTATCTATCCATCAGGCCTGTTTATCTATACATCAGACATGTTTATCCATCCTTCAAGCCTTTTATATATCCATCAGTCCTGTTCATCTATCCATCATGTTACTCTATCCATCAGGCCTGTTCATCTATCCAGAAGGCCTGTTCATCTATCCATCTTGTTCATCTATCCATCAGGCCTGTTCATCTATCCAGCAGGCCTGTTCATCTCTCCATCAGGCCAGTTTATCAATTCATCAGGCCTGTTCATCTATTCATCAGGCCTGTTTATCTATCCTTCAAGCCTTTTATATATCCATCAGGCCTGTTCATCTATCCAGAAGGCCTGTTCATCTCTCCATCAGGCCAGTTCATTTATTCATCAGGCCTGTTTATGTATTCATTAGGCCTGTTTATTTATCCATCAGGCCTGTTCATCTGTCCATCAGGCCTGTTTATCTATCCAGCAGGCCTGTTCATCTATCCAGCAGTCCTGTTAATCTATCCATCAGGCCTGTTCATCTATCCAGCAGGCATGTTTATCTATCCATCAGGCCTGTTTATATATCCATCAGGCCTGTTTATCTATCCAGCAGGCCTGTTCATCTATCCATCTGGCCTGTTCATCTATCCAGCAGGCCTGTTAATCTATCCATCAGGCCTGTTTATCTATCCACCAAGCCTGTTAATCTATCCATCAGGCCTGTTTATCTATACATCAGGCCTGTTCATCTATCCAGCAGGCCTGTTTATCTATCCATCAGGCCTTTTCATGTTTCAAGCAGGCCTGTTCATCTATCCAGCAGGCCTGTTTATCTATCCAGAAGGTCTGTTCCTCTATCAAGCAGGCCTGTTCCTCTATCCAGCAGGCCTGTTCATCTCTCCAGCAACAGCAGGCCTGTTTATCTATCCAGCAGGCCTGTTTATCTATCCACCAAGCCTGTTTATCTATCCATCAGGCCTGTTTATCTATCCATCAGGCCTGTTTATCTATCCATCAGGCTTGTTTATCTATCCAACAGGCCTGTTTATCTATCCATGAGGCATGTTTATCTATCCATCAGGCCTGTTTATCTATCCATCAGGCCTGTTGACTGTCCAGCAGGCCTGTTCATCTATTCAGCAGGCCTGTTTATCTATCCATCAGGCCTGTTTATCTATCCATCAAGCCTATTCATTTATTCATCAGCCCTGTTTATCTATCCATCTGGCCTGTTAATCTATCCATCAGGCCTTTTCATCTATCCATCAGGCCTGTTCATCTATTCATCAGGCCGGTTTATCTATCCAGCAGGCCTGTTCATCTATCCATCTGGCCTGTTCATCTATCCAGCAGGCCTGTTAATCTATCCATCAGGCCTGTTTATCTATCCACCAAGCCTGTTAATCTATCCATCAGGACTGTTTATCTATACATCAGGCCTGTTCATCTATCCAGCAGGCCTGTTTATCTATCCATCAGGCCTTTTCATGTTTCAAGCAGGCCTGTTCATCTATCCATTAGGCCTGTTTATCTATCCAGAAGGTCTGTTCCTCTATCAAGCAGGCCTGTTCCTCTATCCAGCAGGCCTGTTCATCTCTCCAGCAACAGCAGGCCTGTTTATCTATCCAGCAGGCCTGTTTATCTATCCACCAAGCCTGTTTATCTATCCATCAGGCCTGTTTATCTATCCATCAGGCCTGTTTATCTATCCATCAGGCTTGTTTATCTATCCAACAGGCCTGTTTATCTATCCATGAGGCATGTTTATCTATCCATCAGGCCTGTTTATCTATCCATCAGGCCTGTTGACTGTCCAGCAGGCCTGTTCATCTATTCAGCAGGCCTGTTTATCTATCCAGCAGGCCTGTTTATCTATTCAGCAGGCCTGTTTATCTATCCAGCAGGCCTGTTTATCTATGCAGCAAGCCTGTTTATCTATCCATCAGGCCTGTTCATCTCTCCAGCAACAGCAGGCCTGTTCATATATTCAGCAGGCCTGTTCATCTATCCATCAGGCCTTTTCATCTCTCCAGCAGGACTGTTTATCTATCCATCAGGCCTGTTCATCTATCCAGCAGGACTGTTTATCTTTCCATCAGGCCTGTTCATCTATCCATCAGGCCTGTTCATCTATCCAGCAGGACTGTTTATCTATCCATCAGACCTGTTTATCTATCCATCAGGCCTGTTTATCTATCCAGCAGACCTGTTTATCTATCCATCAGGCCTGTTCATCTATCCATCAGGCCTGTTTATCTATCCAGCAGCCTTGTTTATCTATCCATCAGGCCTGTTTATCTATCCAGCAGTCCTGTTTATCTATCCATCAGGCCTGTTTATCTATCCATCAAGCCTGTTTATCTATCCAGCAGACCTGTTTATCTATCCAGCATGCCTGTTCATCTATCCAGAAGGCCTGTTCCTCTATCCAGCAGGCCTGTTCATTTATCCAGCAGGCCTGTTTATCTATCCAGCAGGCCTGTTCATCTATCCACCAAGCCTGTTTATCTATACATCAGGCCTGTTCATCTATCCATCAGGCCGGTTCATATCTTCAGCAACAGCAGGCCTGTTCATTTATCCAGCAGGCCTGTTCATCTATCCACCAAGCCTGTTTATCTATCCATCTGGGCTGTTCATCTATCCATCTGGGCTGTTTATCTATCCAGCAGGCCTGTTTATCTATCCATTAGGCCTGTTCATCTATCCTGCAGGCCTGTTCATCTCAATCCAGCAGGCCTGTTTATCTATCCATCTGGGCTGTTCATCTATCCATCTGGGCTGTTCATCTATCCATCAGGCCTGTTCATCTATCCATCAGGCCTGTTCATCTATCCAGCAGGACTGTTTATCTATCCATCAGGCCTGTTTATCTATCCATCAGGCCTGTTTATCTATCCATCATATCTGTTCTTCTATTCATCAGGCCTGTTTATCTATCCATCAGGCTTGTTTATCTATCCATCAGGCCTGTATATCTATCCATCAGGCCTGTTCATCTATCCAGTAGGCCTGTTCATCTATCCATCAGGCCTGTTAATCTCTCCATCAGGCTTGTTTATCTATCCAGCAGGCCTGTTCATCTCTCCAGCAGGCCTGTTTATCTATCCAGTAGGCCTGTTCATCTATTTAGTAGGCCTGTTCATCTATTTAGTAGGCCTGTTCATTTATCCATCAAGCCTGTTTATCTATCCTCAGGCCTGTTAATCTCTCCAGTAGGCCTGTTCATCTATTTAGTAGGCCTGTTCATTTATCCATCAAGCCTGTTTATCTATCCATCAGACCTGTTTATCTATCCATCAAGCCTGTTTATCTATCCATCAGGCCTGTTCATCTGTCCAGTAGGCCTGTTCATCTATCCAGCAGGCCTGTTCATCTATCCAGTAGGCCTGTTCATCTATCCATCAAGCCTGTTTATCTATCCATCAGGCCTGTTCATCTATCCAGTAGGCCTGTTCATCTATTTAGTAGGCCTGTTCATTTATCCATCAAGCCTGTTTATCTATCCATCAGACCTGTTTATCTATCCATCAAGCCTGTTTATCTATCCATCAGGCCTGTTCATCTATCCAGCAGGCCTGTTTATCTATCCATCAGGCCTGTTCATCTATCCAGCAGGCCTGTTTATCTATCCAGCAGGCCTGTTTATCTATCCATCAGGCCTGTTCATCTATCCAGCAGGCCTGTTTATCTATCCATCAGGCCTGTTCATCTATCCAGCAGGCCTGTTTATCTATCTAACAGGCCTGTTCATCTATCCAGCAGGCCTGTTTATGTATCCATCAGGCCTGTTTATCTATCCATCAGGCCTGTTTATCTATCCAGCAGGCCTGTTTATCTATCCATCAGGCCTGTTTATCTATCCATCAGGCCTGTTTATCTATCCAGCAGGCCTGTTTATCTATCCATCAGGCCTGTTTATCTATCCATCAGGCCTGTTTATCTATCCAGCAGGCCTGTTTATCTATCCAGCAGGCCTGTTTATCTCTGTGGACTGGGATGTAATGTGACATTTGCATGAGGGGCTGAGGGAGCTGTCAGCGAGAACTACAGGGTGATGTCATCCCTTCCTAAACATGCTGAGCTTTCTCTAACCCCCTCATCAAACACCAGGATCTTTATGGGCTGTATCATATTGTGCCGTAATGTGCTTTATTGTCCACAGAATAAGCTTTTCTTTAAGGTAATTGGAGAGTGGGGGAAACAGTCTCCGCTGTCGGCTCGATTTTTAAATACATTATTTCTGAAATGTGCCCTGGTGTAATGACCCTGTCGGTGTAAAATGTGAGATTTATCTTGGCAGAGGAAATTGATCCATTTCACCTTTGTCTAATGGAAATGTTTTATCCTACCGGTTTATCTGTGGATATGTAAATGGTCCTGGAGACTGTGTGTGTTTGTGTGTTTATGTGTTGTGTGTTGTGTGTGTGGTGTGTGTGTGTGGTTATCTGCTCCTTGTAAATGAGTAGCCCTGGGAGAGACATTATAATGGAGAGGAGAGGAGGCCCTGGGAGAGGAGGCCCCTGGAGAGACATTATAATGGAGAGGAGAGGAGGCCCTGGGAGAGGAGGCCCTGGGAGAGACATTACAAAGGAGTGGAGAGGAGGCCCTGGGAGAGACATTATAATGGAGAGGAGGCCCTGGGAGAGACATTATAATGGAGAGGAGAGGAGGCCCTGGGAGAGGAGGCCCTGGGAGAGACATTACAAAGGAGTGGAGAGGAGGCCCTGGGAGAGACATTATAATGGAGAGGAGGCCCTGGGAGAGGAGGCCCTGGGAGAGACATTATAATGGAGAGGAGAGGAGGCCCTGGGAGAGGAGGCCCTGGGAGAGGAGGCCCTGGGAGAGACATTACAAAGGAGTGGAGAGGAGGCCCTGGGAGAGACATTACAAAGGAGTGGAGAGGAGGCCCTGGGAGAGACATTACAAAGGAGTGGAGAGGAGGCCCTGGGAGAGACATTATAATGGAGAGGAGAGGAGGCCCTGGGAGAGGAGGCCCTGGGAGAGGAGGCCCTGGGAGAGGAGGCCCTGGGAGAGACATTATAATGGAGTGGCGAGGAGGCGTTAATCTCAGCCTCGTCAGTCTGGACATAATACATGGTCCTCTGTAGCTCAGCTGGTAGAGCACGGCGCTTGTAACGCTAAGGTAGTGGGTTCGATCCCCGGGACCACCCATACACACAAAAAAAATATGTATGCACGCATGACTGTAAGTCGCTTTGGATAAAAGCGTCTGCTAAATGGCATATTATTATATTATTATAAAGGATTCATCTCTGAGGGGCATGTTGTGATGGTGGTTGGTGGGGGGCAGAGTGTGTGTGTGTGTTTGGAGGGGAGGTTGTGTGTCTATGTTGGGGAGAGGGGTGTGTTTGTTTGGAGGGGAGGGGGTGGGTGTGTGTGTGCGTGGTTATTTGTTGTATGTTAATGAGAGTGTTTGAGGGGTGGGCAGGGGGTGGTATGTATGTAGAGATCCACTAGAGACCATTAGAGACCAATAGAGACCAGTAAAGATCCATTAGAGACCAGTAAAGATCCATTAGAGACCCGTAGAGACCACTAGAGACCACTAGAGACCAGAAGAGACCAGTAGAGAATCAGTAGAAATCTATTAGATCCCAGTAGAGACCAGTAGAGATCCTTTAGAGACCACTAGAGACCGGTAGAGACCAGTAAAGACCACTAGAGACCAGTAGAGATCCTTTAGAGACCACTAGAGACCGGTAGAGACCAGTAAAGACCACTAGAGACCAGTAGAGATCCTTTAGAGACCACTAGAGACCGGTAGAGACCACTAGAGACCACTAGAGACCAGTAGAGATCCATTAGAGACCACTAGAGACCAGTAAAGATCCATTAGAGACCACTAGAGACCAGTAGAGATCCATTAGAGACCACTAGAGACCACTAGAGACCAGTAGAGATCCATTAGAGACCACTAGAGACCAGTAAAGATCCATTAGAGACCACTAGAGACCAGTAGAGATCCATTAGAGACCACTAGAGACCAGTAAAGATCCATTAGAGACCACTAGAGACCAGTAAAGATCCATTAGAGACAAGTAAAGATCCATTAGAGACCACTAGAAACCACTAAAGTCCAGTAAAGACCACTAGAGACCGGTAGAGACCAGTAAAGACCACTAGAGACCAGTAGAGACCAGTAGAGACCAGTAGAGACCAGTAGAGACCAGTAGAGATCCATTAGAGACCAGTAGAGACCACTAGAGACCACTAGAGACCAGTTAAGATCCATTAGAGACCACTAGAGACCAGTAGAGATCCATTAGAGACCACTAGAGACCACTAGAGACCACTAGAGACCAGTAAAGATCCAGTAGAGACCACTAGAGACCAGTAGAGATCCATTAGAGACCAGTAGAGATCCATTAGAGACCAGTAGAGATCCATTAGAGACCAGTAGAGATCCATTAGAGACCAGTAAAGATCCATTAGAGACCTGTAGAGATCCATTAGAGACCAGTAAAGATCCATTAGAGACCTGTAGAGACAGTACAGCACATCACATATATCTCTCTATCATCGTGACATCAAATCAAATCAAATTTTATTGGTCACATACACATATTTAGCAGATGTTATTCCAGGTGTAGCGAAATACTTGTGTTCCAAGCTCCAACAGTGCAGTAATATCTAACAATTTACAACAATACACACAAATCTAAAAGTAGAATAATGGAATTAAGAAATAAATAAATATTAAGATGAACAATGTCGGAATGCCATTGACTAAAATACAGTAGAATACAGTATATACATATGAAATTAGTAAAGCTGTATGTAAACATTGTTAAAGTGACTAGTGGTCGTTGTCCTTGATGATCTTTTTGGCCTTCCTGTGACATCGGGTGCTGTAGGTGTCCTGGAGGCCAGGTAGTTTGCCCCCGGTGATGCGTTGTGCAGACCGCACCACCCTCTGGAGAGCCCTGCGGTTGCGGGCGGTGCAGTTGCCGTACCAGGAGGTGATACAGCCCAACAGGATGCTTTCAATTGTGCATCTGTAAAGGTTTGTGAGGATCTTAGGGGCCAAGCTGAATTTCTTCAGCTCCTGAGGCGCTGTTGCGCCTTCTTCACCACACCGTCTGTGTGTGTGGACCATTTCAGATTGTCAGTGATGTGTACGCCAAGGAACTTGAAGCTTTCCACCTTCTCCACTGCGGTCCCGTCGATGTGGATGGAGACGTGCTCCCTCTGCTGTTTCCTGAAGTCCACGATCTTCTCCTTTGTTTTGTTGACGTTGAGTGAGAGGTTATTTTCCTGGCACCACTCTCCCAGAGCCCTCACCTCCTCCCTGTAGGCTGTCTTGTCATTGTTGGTAATCAGGCCTACTACTGTTGTGTCGTCTGCAAACTTGATGATTGAGTTGGAGGCGTGCTTGGCCACGCAGTCATGGGTGAACAGGGAGTACAGGAGGGGGCTGAGTATGCACCCTTGTGGGGCCCCAGTGTTGAGGATCAGCGTAGTGGAGGTGTTGTTTCCTACCTTCACCACCTGGGGGCGGCCTGTCAGGAAGTCCAGGACCCAGTTACGAAGGGCAGGGTTCAGAACCAGGGCCCCGAGCTTGATGATAAGCTTGGAGGGTACTATGGTGTTGAATGCTGAGCTACAGTCAATGAATAGCATTCTTACGTAGGTATTCTTCTTGTCCAGATGGGATAGGGCAGTGTGCAGTTCAATGGCGATTGCATCGTCTGTGGATCTTTTGGGCCGGTATTGAAATTGAAGAGGGTCTATGGTGTCAGGTAAGGTAGAGGTGAAATGATCCTTAACTAGTCTCTCAAAGCAATTCATGATGACAGAAGTGAGTGCTATGGGGTGATATTCATTTAGTTCAGTTACCTATGCTTTTTTGGGTACAGGAACAATGGTGGACATCTTGAAGCAAGTGGGGACAGCAGTCTGGGACAGGGAGAGATTGAATATGTCCGTAAACAGTCCAGCCAGCTGGTCTGCGCGTGCTCAGAGGACACGGCTAGGGATGCCGTCTGGGCCGGCTGCCTTGCGAGGGTTAACACACTTAAATATATTACACAAGTCGGCCACGGAGAACGAGAGTCCACAGTCCTTGGGAGCGGGCCGCGTCAGTGGCACTGTGTTATCCTCAAAGCGGACGAAGAAGGTGTTTAGCGACGTGGCTGGTTTTCCCTTTGTAATCCGTGATTGTCTGGAGTCCCTGCCACACACGTATCGTGTCTGAGCCGTTGAATTGCGACTCCACTTTGTCTCTGTACTGTCGTTTTATCTGTTTGATTACCTTACGGAGGGAATAACTACACTGTTTGTATTCAACCATATTCCCAGTCACCATGCCGTGGTTAAATGCGTTGGTTCGCGCTTTCAGTTTTGCGCAAATGCTGCCGTCTATCCACGGTTTTAGGTTCGGGTAGGTTTTAATAGTCACAGTTAGAGCGGTCACGATGGTGACTGTCGGTCTCCTGGCTTCCACACATAGCCTACAAGCCACTGATGCAGACCTTTGGAACATCTACATTTGAAAAAGTTTCCATGTGATGTAGCCTACACTTTCACAATAAATCCATTATTTATTTTAGACAGGTCTAAAGAAGCATGATATGAAGAAAATGTAGTCTATTTTAGAAGAACAGAATAGCATACTCTGAGTTGTCCTTATGTTAGGTCCTGATCTGGCTATGCCAAATGGCTGTGGGCTACACTAGTTCATTTAGCAGACAAGATTTGCTTAGAATTCCGTGGCATTAGTTTATAGTATGAAGAATACAACTGAACAAAGCTGAATAAAATTGAAAGGATATTTTCTCCAAAGATTTGAGGGAGTGGGCGCATGCGGCTATTCTGTTGAGCGTTAACAAAGAAATAGGTATTCCTATTCCTATTTAGAGTTATTAATGTCACTTTAGTTGTTCTACAAACGTTGGGCTATATGTTTTGATTTTTAATACAAAAGTATCTTGAAAGGAATGAGCTCTGCTTTGTTTTTTTGCGCAGGCCGTACACACTACATCAGTCA